ATAGTCAGATCGATTGTGAGATCGATCGAATGAAACAGATCGAGTGGTATCGATTGTAAGATCGATCGAGTGAGATCGATCGAGCGAGACCGATAATGAGATCGATCGTAAGATCGATAGTGAGACCGATCGGGTGAGACGTTGGTTCTTCCCCCCCCGAACTTCCTTATCACCGGAAGGGTGTATCACGTGGTCTGCATGGTCAACAGTGTCAGCGGATGCGTTGGTATGGTTTGCCATGTTACGTTCGGAGGTGAGGGGGTGAGATCGAAGTGGAACGGAGAGCCCCCCCTACCGGGAAATCGACTTCGGTTTCGTTTTCGTGCGTGCCGTGCGTGCGAGGCGAAGCTGCGTGGGCGGGCGAGCGAAAGTCTCCTGTGGCTGAGGCGCGACCGGACCAAATGACTCCCTTCCGGGCGGCCGGGGGCCCGCGGTGTCCCGCCGGTGTCCCGCTGGTGTCCCGTGTGGCTGAGGCGCGGCCGGACCAAATGACTCCCTTCCGGGCGGCCGGGGGCCCGCGGTGTCCCGCCGGTGTCCCGTCGGTGCCCCGTCGGTGTCCCGATAATGATGATGTTGATGATGATCATGATGGTTGTGTTGATGGTGATGATGACGATGATGGTGTCCTGGTGATGATGATGATGATGTTGATGATGATGATGATGAGATGACAATGATGTTGATGTTCTGCCCGTTGTTGTTGATGATGATGTTGGTAATGCTGATGCTGATGATGATGATTATGGTATCCCGATGATGATTATGACGGTGGTGATGATGATGGTGATGGTGTACCGATGATGATATTGATGATGATGTTGGTGATGATGATGCTGCTGATGATGATGGTGTCCCGATAATGTTGATGATGCTGTTGATGATGATGATGACGATGATAATGAGCTGATGATGATGATGGTGTCCTGATGATGTTGATGATGTTGACGATGACAACGATGGTGACCATGATGGTGTCCCGATGATGATGATGATGCTGATGGTGATGATGACGATGGCTGTGTCCCGCTGGTGATGTTGATGATGTTGTTGATGATGATGAGATGACGATGATGTTGATGTTTCTGCCCGTTGTTGTTGATGATAATGTTGGTAATGATGATGCTGCTGATGGTGAGTATGGAATCCCGATGATGATGATTATGACGGTGGTGATGATGATGGTGATGGTGATGGTGTACCGATGATGATATTGATGATGATGTTGGTGACGATGATGCTGCTGATGATGATGGTGTCCCGATGATGTTGATGATGCTGTCGAATATGATGATGATTAAATGATAGTGATGATGGTGTCCCGATGTTGTTGATGATGTTGGCGATGACAATGATGGTGACCATGATGGTGTCCCGATGATGATGATGCTGATGGTGATGATGACGAAGGCTGTGTGCCGATGATGATGATGATGATGATGCTGTTGCTGACCATGATGAAATGATGATGGGGATGATGATGATGGCCTGATGATGATGGCGTTGATGATGATGTCGATGATGATGATGATGACAGTGTCCCGATGACGATGAAAATGATGGTGGTGATGATGATGATAATGATGACGTTGAATGTTCGATCGATTGTGAGATCGGTAGTGCTATCGATAGTGAAACCGAATGTGAAATCGACTGTGAGATCGATAATCAGATCAATTTTGAGACCGAACGAATGAGATATATCGAGTGAGATCGATTGTGAGATCGATCGAGTGAGATCGATCGAGCGAGACCGATAGTGAGATGGATAGTGAGACCGATCGAGTGAGACGCTGCATCCTCCCCCCCCCCCGAACCTCCTTATCACCCGAAGGGTGGTCGTATAGGTAGGTTATGGCGTGCTGTGTCATGGTATACACTGTCGCGGTGTATGTTACGCTATCTTATGGTATGTCAGTGTGTTACGTAGCGCTCTGTCACGGTGTGATTTCACATGCTATGAAGTGCGATCACGTGCGGGTTGTTTTTCCAACGCGCAGCCCGCCCGATCCGCTGCCCTTCCAAAGGGATATCTTCCCCAAGCCACACGACGAACACAACAATTGAGCCCGCCAAGCTGTCCTGCGAGCGTGGCCGAAACTCCGCCGACCCGTGACGGCAGAAAACAAAAACCAGCAGTAGCCCCAGACTCGGGTGAAGGGGACAAGTGGGAGAGGAGGCGCGGCGAGGGGGAACAGAAGACAGTTGCTGTGTGGACACTCCAATTTGGCCACGTCAGCCGAACAACAAAAATAACACACAGCGACAATAGGAAAGGAGGAGGCCGAGAGGGGGAGGAGGAGGAGGAGGAGGAGGAAGAGGAAGAAGAGGACTGAGGGAACGGCCAGATGACCCAGCAAAGTCTCGAGACCCTCTCAACCTCAGAGGATCTGGAATCAAGCACACTAAACTGTAAGTTGCGTGCAGGAGCGTCCCACTGGAGTGAGACACGCAAGGCGGAATTGCCTCCAAGCGCAACTGAAACACTGAAGAATGGGACTGGTTGACAACACGGCCACGCCGTGTGGAGGCGGCAAGCAACAGAAGGCAACGCGAGCGAGCAGCGGTTCCTTGGAGGGAGCGGCCGACAAGACCGGGCAGCACGTCAATGGCCCACCCCCGCATGCACCCGGTGCGAGCGCCAACTGACAGCACGGGAACGGCCACACAAGCGCATACCGTGCCCCGACCCTAGGAGAGGAGGAAACGAGAGGGGAAGGAGGCGGAGGGCGGAGGAAAAAAGGAGAAGAGGGAGACTGCACACTCGAGCCGGGCGCTGGGGATTCCACAGCCGCGGATGGACCTGCCGACACTGACCAATAAATCGGCACCACGATTCGGAGGGAGAGGGACGAGGCGGAGGGAGACGGAGGACAAAGGAAAGGACGGAAGGGAGGAGAAATACACCGAATAAAACTGCGTCTTGCGTCAAGCGAGCGCGGCCGGGTTCGACCCGGGATAAATAAATCGACGGGCTGGCATCCCCCGAATGGGGCGACACGCCGGCGTCCACCCAAATTCGTGCACAATTTCGACTCCGGCCGAGTCGAAGGCAGACCGCCTCCCACGATCGACCGGCCACGCGGCCGGGACAGTTACAGGAGGAGGCGGAGGAAGAGGGGGAGGAGGAGGAGAACGAGGAAGGAAAGGCAGCCCTCCGGAGTGTGGACGCCGGCGTGTCGCACTGTGCCCGGGGAGGGACGACCCCTCCTCTCCGATGCCGTGCCGCAGCCAGGCATGCGTGAGTAGATCGAAAACGCTCGCACTCCAAACCGCAAGAGAGAGAGAGAGAGAGAGAGAGAGACCGACAGGCAAACAGACAGACAGACAAATTAACAGCGGCAGGGCGTGCAAAAGGCAATCACTACATCCCGTCCCCTTCGGCGTCGTCGTGCTCGTTCCACTCCGCCGCCATGACCTCCCTGAGCTGGATCCGCAACGCCGGGAACATCGCGGCCGACCCCAAACGATGGTCGGCGTGGTGCCGCCACCAGCCATGGAGCTTGTACGTGGCCGTCGTCAACAGGGCTCTCCGCAGTACGTCGTGGGAGTGCTCCGCTGGCCGTGCGTGTAGGACGCCCAAGAAGCCCGCCACGCGGTCCTCTGGCGAAAGCGGCTGCAACCACAGGTCCGTCGTGCCGAACGCCATGACGTGCCTGCGCGTGGCGTAGCGCTGGATCGGGTCCTCCTGGTCGCAGCCCATCATGCACTTGGCATGGCGATTCTGCATGCGTCGCCCTGACACCCAAAAATGGGTGAAAGTACGAAGCGTAGCGGCGACCACCCTTGGCTGCGCTCGCCCCCGAGGCCAGGTCACCGTGGCCTGGCAGCGGTTGGCCCGGCGGCCGGGCAGCACGTTGAGCCGCCAGCGGTCAGCCACTCGTCGCAATATTGGATGTAGCAAAGGGCGAGTTGTGCCCGCGCCGCGGCTCTCTGCAATCCCCGCTGCGCGCGCCGCGCAGCTGCCCTCGTCCACGGTCGAGGTCCGCCCAGCTGGAGTTCCAGGGCGGCGGCAGAAATCCCTCGAGCGCGGAGGCTCTCGACCGCGTGCGGCAAGGCGTGGGGAATGCTGCCATCCAGCCATGACCGCCACAGTGCCACCCGGATGATCTTGTCAGTGTTGCCCTCCAAGAAGCGAAGTGCTCGCGACTTCGCCTCGACCAAGAGCCCGCCAGTGGACCCGGCCTCCCTGGCGACGATCCGAAGCTCGCCGCCTCGGCCATATAGGCCACGCTCGCGAAGGCCTTTGGCATTCCCGTCAGGTCCAGGTGCGGCAATAACATCAGCAGGGAGCCGTTGCCGGGGCAGCGCGTTAAGTTCTTCGTGCGCCTGGCCTCCAGGTCCCCCCATCCTGGCGGAAGGTCCTCCAGTTGCGCCACGACGGACAATGCCGGCAGGACGTGGACCGAGTAGGCGAGCGCAGCGACGTGGAGACCGCCGCCAGCCTGGCCCCAGAAGGAGGACCGCTCCAGATACTTGCGCATCGGTTTCTCCCACGACTTGGCCGCTCGCTCTGGGCCGAGGTACGCGCCAAAATATTTCGCAAAGTCGTCAAAATGCATCCCTCCCCACTGCGGCAACTCCTGCTGCACCGCGCTCCGTGCTAGTGCCGGGCTTGTCTCAGCGAGGTCCACCAAACGCACTTGTCCACGTTCAGCTCCAGACCAGACATGGTGCCATACTCCGCCAAGAGGGGCGCCAATACTGGTGCCGTTCCCGCCAATCCCAGAAGACCAAGGCAACGTCGTCGGCGTGCGCCCTGGCGAGCGCGCCAGGAACCGCGCGGAAAATGCAGCGAAGCAACAAGTCGGAGACAATCGCAAAGAACACCGGGATAGCGGGCATCCCTGTCTGATTCCGCTCTCAACGTAGAAGCCTGAATGCTGCCCACCCCCCGCCGCCAGCCAACACCAATTATTGTGGTAAAGGGTCGTTATGATGTTGAGCAGCTCTGCAGGGAGGCCCATGTGAGCCAAGATAGAGAGGATTAACGACCGCGCGACGCTCGGAAAAGCAGCGCGGAAGTCCAGGAAGACCGCGATGCCTGCGTCCTCTGTCAATGCTACCTCCATCATCCGCTCCTCGATCGCCATGATGTTGCTGACCATCGAAAGGCTTGGCAATAATCCTTGCTGTTCACGTGAGATCCAAGGGGCAGCGCACTTCTCTAGCTGGAGCCTCACTGCGTTGGCCAAGATCCAGCTGTCCCCGCTGGCAATGCTGAGTGGGCGCGTGGCGTCGGGCTTGCACCCCAGCCGCTCCCCGCCCTCCAGTGCCGTACCCGCCTTTGGTAAAAAGACCAGCAAGGAGTCGTTGAAGGCAGGGCAGTCCCGGGCAACAATTTCCGGGCCGTCGCCAGACATCATATCGCGAAGAGTTGCTTCGAGCACACCTCCGCCCAAAGGCCCTAGTGACCGCCAGACGGCAAGCGGGAGCCCATCCGGCCCTGGGGAAAACTTCGGCGCCTCCTTGATGGCCTTGTCAAGGTCCGCCCGCGACGGCAACCACTCCTCTCGGCAGAGGCGGCGGAGACAGCTCAGGTGTGCTGGGCCGAGGTCTTCTGCGCACCAGCGTCGAAGAACACGATCGTCGTGCTGTCGACGCCTGAACACCCCTTGCCAATACGAGCGCAAGGCTTGGGCCATGTCTTCCGGGTCCGTGAGAATAACGCCGTGCCGGTCCACGACTCCGCCCAGGGCCGCTGACCGGCCCGGCGCCAACCGCGCGAGCAACTGCATTACCCTGTTGCGGCGGCGTTGCAGCGCCTCAAAATCCGGCTCGTCGACGTCCGCATCGCCCTCTGCATTGTGAATTTCTTGTAGCTGCCGCAATGCCGAATCCCGAGCAAGCTCCACCGCGTGCGCCTGGATGGCCTCCAGTGGGCCGCCGAACAAAGTGCCCAGCCTGGGGCATGCCTGGCAGCAGCGGCGGACCGTCCCGACCGCCCCTCGCTCCAAAGCCCGGACACACCGCAAAGTCCAGCCAAGGTGATCATCAGCCTCTGTCGCCTCCGGCACCTGCTGCTGCTTCTCGCGGCCCATCGTGTCGGCGACCGTCCTCATGGCCTCCTTCAGGATGCGGAGGCGAGCGAAGCCGGATATGCACGGCGAGGGGGCAGCCGAAGAGCTCGCGGAGTCCGGGTGGCCAGCGTCCCCGAGGCCATTGGACAGCACGTTCTCCGCCCTCCGCAGGAGCGTCCAATACAGGGCCGCCACGCGAACAGGCCAGGCAGGATCTCGAAGCACCGCAGCCGGAACGGGGTGGGCTGGTCAGGGATCGGCCGCGCCCGCCGACGGCCGAAGGCAAGGGCCCGATGATGGGACAAGTGTGGAACCCAGGCCAAGGGAACGCAGCGCAGAGTCGTGTCGCACTGGGTGGATACATGAGCATTCCAATCTATCCTGTCGATCCGCGATCGGCACCCGGCGTCGTCATGAAAGGCCTGCATCTGGTGGAGCTCGTGTAGACCGTGCCTCCGACACAGGTCCTCCCGCCAGTGATCTTCATCCGCCTTGTCTCTGACGTTGGCCTGCCGGATGGGGTCGAGGAGCCGATCGTCCTTCGAGGTCCGGTCCGCCCCCTCCACTACCCAGTTAAAGTCCCCACCAATGACGCTCAGCACCTAGCACGTCGGGCTCATCTTCGCGTTGATGCGCTCCCGCATAAACTGCCTCTGCATCTTCACCTGCATGTTAGCCTCTTCGTCCGTCGTCGCGTGCACGAGGCCACGGGTGCCGGTGGCAAAATATACTGTCCAAATGTCGAACGCTCCAAGGGGGCCTCGGAGTCGCAGCACAGCGGCACGCCCTGGAACGGGTTCGTCCCAGACCGGGTCGGGGTCAAACTGCCGCAGGAAACTGTCCCGGAGGATGATGCCCACCTCTGCCCTCGCCGAGGTGCCCGTCGACCACATCGCCGTGAAGCCCAGCGACGGCCGCCAGGCGGCCTTGTCGCCTTCCGTGACGTGCGCCTCGGACAGCAGCACGAAGTCGCGGCCACGAAGCATTCGCATCACATATTTGGCCTTCGCGAAGTGTTTCCTGACGTCCACCGCGAAGAAAACTTGAGAATTCCAAGCAACCCCCACCAACGAGCCGTGGTAAGGGCCGTCATGCCGATGAACCGGGCGACTGGCCAGGGCGATCATGTGTGGATATATGCAATGGCACGCGTTGTTCGTCAATGGTATGCGATGCTACGCTATGTGATGGCATGGCATGTTAGGCTATGTTCTGCTATGGTATGGTACGGCATGAAGTGTGGTGTCATGATATGGTATGTCTGCCCCGCGCTGCCATAGCGTATGGTGTTATGCTGTGCCATGCTCTGCCATGATATAATATGTTGTGCCGCTCCCTGGCATGGTATGATTATTCATGGTATGCAGATGTTCGGTGCTGTGATGCTGTGTTATGGTATGGTCTGTTGTGTCATGGTGTAGTATGAAATGTGTTGCTACGTCATGGCATGTTACGTTGCTTTCTGATCTGGTCGGTCATGACATGTAGTGTTCTGCTATGTTATGTATGCTCCGCTCTGGCATCGCGTTGCTATGATGTGTTATTTCATCATGTGTTGTGTTGTGTCATGTTATGCTGTGGTATGTTCTGGCATGGAATGTTCACTCCTGCAATGCTTTGTTACGGTATGTTTGCTTTGTCATGCCATGGGATGCTGTGTGATGCAACGCTGTGGTATTACATGATTTGTTATGTCAGTGTGTATTATGTTATGAGATGGTGTGGCATGATATGGTGAGTTATGCTATGGTATGTTGTGTTATGTGGTGTGGTGTGATGCTATGTTCTGCATGGTCCGCTCTGCCATAGTTTACATATGGTGCTATGCTATTGTACGTTGCACTGCGTTTTGGAATACATTGTGCCGCGCTCGGTCATGTTCTGCTTTGTCATGTTATGCAATGCTCTGTCCTGCGATGCTGTGATATGTTATACTTTGGTTTCTGTCTGTCGAATGCGCGAGGCGTGACTCTCGGGGGATACTCGGTGGATCTGGGAATATGGCGGCCGCGGTATGCGGACTGGGCGGGTCGGGAGGCCTGTTCCTAAAACCTGACAGCCCTAACCTGTCGGGTAGGGAAAAAACACATGTCCACCTACGTATCCAACCCTCGCCCAGGCCGGCCGCGTCATTTTCGACCAACTTCAAGGCACCTTGCGCGGAACATGGGGTACGAAATTGAACAAAGAACCGCGGTCATCATGCGTATGCGGCCATGCCTGCTGTAAGCGGCATTCCAAGCGCTTGTATCGTCTTGCAGCAATTAATGCCATGTCAATCTAAGTGCGAACGCTATTGTTTCACAAACACTCGCGATTCTGAAGCCAACCGGTAAAGAGAAAGGCATGCTCTGGGCTTGAGTGAATGAGCACGCGTGTGACCCCACGTGCGATGAGCTCAGATGTTAAGCGCCATAGCCAACGAAATAACTGGGTTGCCTGTCCATCAGAAGCCCAACGGCTGGCTCGGCAAGGAAACAAGAGTAGAGGTGTAACTGCACATGTGAAGATCCAGGCGGTGGCGTTGCGGCCTTCTCGGCAAAATCGTCAGCAGTGCCGGCGATACCGTCTCCGACTGTGTCGACGACGGCCCCGACGGTGCCTGGCAAGCAGGAGGGCCCCTTTCTGGACGGGCGCGAGCAATTGAAAGGCAGGCTGTGGTAGGACTGTCACGTATGTACATAGCCCTGTGCTGGTGCACGCGACCATTGCTGGAGGGAGGCGCATTTACCCATACTGCGGGCGCCAGCGTCATGGCCCTCCTGCAGGTCACAGACTCTTGAAAACAAATTCGGCTGTGGCCGAAATCTGCGACGAAAGGAACGCACATAGATGCAAAGGAAATCCTCACAGGTCCTGGTGCGAAGCCGTCTCCTTTCTGCGGGACAATGGCTGAGGCAAACCCATGATGCGCAGCATTGGGTTTCTCGCTCAACTGCATGTTCAAATTGCGAGCTCTCATGGGACCTTTCATGGGGCTCCTCTGTAAAGACGCCGCGATCGGAAACACTGGATCCGAATGCTTTTCCAGCACGCCTGTTCCACCTTTTCGACGCAAACTTCTTGCACCCCTAATGTGCTGTCCGATCTCCATGTCCGCTACATGGACGCATTGGCATCACATTGACCGAATGTGTGCCACAACGCCTGCCCCTTGTCCAACCGCGAAAACACAACATCGGGCGATGCACGCTATGTGCAAGACCTCCATAATTTCACTTTGGCAGGCACGGCCTGCATAGATTTACACTGCGATCTACGCCCCTGGTACATCCAACTCGTAGCAGCTCAAAAACCCTTGGCAACCAATCATCTTGGCGAACGGCCCAGACATCTGCAGCTGTGAGCATCGCCGTTGTGGGTCTCACCTTTGGTGGATCTCTTGATGAGGCCACGAAGCGTGTAAAAGGTGTGCAGACATGGGGCGGCGGGGAAGCATGCGAGCGCAGACATTGGGGACTTCGGTGGCGCACCAGATGGGGCGGCGAAACGTTTGAGAGGTGTGCCGAAATGGAGCGGGGCCGCCCTGCGAACGTCGCCACTGGGGTCTTCGGTGGAGCTACCAATTATGGGACCACGAAACGCTGCACTGAGTGGGGACGACGCGTGCGAACACCGCCGCGGGGGCCTTCGGTGGAGCTCCCTATTGGGCCGCGAAGCGCTGCACTGGGTGGGGGAGACGCATGCGAACACCGACGCTGGAGCCTTCGGTCGAGCTCCATTTTGGGCCACGAAACGCTGCTGCACTGGGCGGGGGAGACGCATGCGAACACCGCCACCAGAGCCTTCGGTCGAGCTCCATGTGGGGCCACGAAACGCTGCAAAGGTGGGGGAAACACACGCGGACACCGCCATTGGGGCCTTCGGTCGAACTCCCTATGGGACCACGAAACGTGTACTGGAGGGGGGGAACGCATACGGACACCACCACTGGGGCCTTCGGTGGGGGTCCCGATGGGGCCACGGAGCGCTGTACTGGGTGGGGGAAGCGCATGCGGACACCGCCACTGGTGCCTTCTGGCGAGCTCCCTATGGGGCAGCGAAGCGTTGTACTGGGTGGGGGAAACGCATGCTGTGTATGGGGTTGAAGTACAAGGGTACAGAACCCCTGACCCGTTGGTAGAGGGAAGGAGGGATAGATGGATGTCTTTCCCTCCTGCACGATCAAAGGTCTGATCGATCTGTCCCAATACCTGAGCCCAAACGGCCGGGCGCAGGAGAGGTGAGGATAAGGAGTATATGTGAGGGTATTACACGGGTTCTATTCACACCCCCCGTCCCGAATCCCGCCCGCGAGGGCAGGACTCGGGAACAGAGGAAAAGCATCCGTCACCCTTTTACCCCGTTAATCCTCAGGTCTGCAGACAGCTGAGCTTAAAGTCAGTAGAGCCTCAGCTGCAAAGTACGGTAAGAAGGAACACCCTGGGCCCCGATTTCTTCGCCAAGCACGCTTTGGCGCCCCCTCGGCGCGCCCCCCAAAACGCTTCGGCACTCGAGGGCGGAGAAGAATGAGACACGGGTGGGCGGAGAAAGAGGATCTGAGCAATAGAGCAACTTGTAATCTGCCTCGCCTTTGCGAGGCATGTGTTGCCACCAGCATTCAGATTATTCTCAACGCAATGTATTTATACAGTAATGAATATGCATGCTGAGATCGCGTTGATGAACACGATCGCGCTACGAAACGCAACTATAGATAAAAAAACAAATGTCTGGCCATACGAAAGGTCGCGTTGACAAACACGAAAGTTGCATGTATGTAAATTCTATATGGCGACTCCCGTTGGCGTTGCTCCTTAGGAGGCAGCCTTGGTTATCGCAAGAGATGTTTTTATGTGTGGCCACTTGTGTTATAGAATGAAGTGGCCTAGAATTATATAATAGCCACCGCTCTAGGCGAACTTGGATTATAATGAAGTTCAAGCCTTTCGAGCGGTGGGCCTTGCGGCCGACTCACTACGCGTTGCCGTTCCTGTAGAACCTGCGGTCCCACGCCCTGCGGCCATCGTGCGTCGCGTAGCTCGTCGCGAACGTCTCCCAAACTGTCCTCGGGGTCCAATGAAGAAACCACTTGTTGTACTGGATGTCGCGGATGTATACGAACTCGTCGTTGTTCAGCGCGATGTAGATCCAGCAGTTGATGTTGTAGCTCCAATACCTGAGGCCCCAATGACTGTCCTCAAGGTCGTCGCGCCAATAGGCGGCGTAGTCTGTCGCACGCGCTCTCTTGGCGCGCGGCCCCGCGGGCATGTGGTCCGCCGCGCCAGAGGCGCTGGACTGTGCAGCGTCGCCAGGAGCAGGGCGCGGCGGCGGCGGCGGATGGCGCGGCTCCATGGCATCATCAGACTGATGGGAGTGTGTATCAGGTTCGATCGGATCGGTTCTCATCCCTGAATCAACCCCCCTCTGGTCGGTGTGTGTCGGATCGAGGGAGCCTAACAACTCGTTAGCAATCGCAGCAAGCTTGCGCTGCGTGACTTTCTCACGGGTGCCATCCCTTCTAGGGAGGGCAATCGCGACAAGTCCGCGAGCTTGCCGCGTTTGTCTGTCGAGTCTGCCCTCGTTCAACCACCATTTCTTCCGACCAGCTTGGCCTGTCCTGATGCTAGTATCGAGGATCGTGCATGCATCACGCATGTCGTCCACGTTCCAGGCCTTCTTGCCCACGTTCACGCGAGCGCCTGTCATTTGGTGGTGGAACTTCAAATCGTTGAGAAAACGCTGAACGAGATTGGCATATGGGTAGTACAGAGGTCTGTCGTCATCAGCCTCGCCCATCAATCTGCACTCGTGTGCAGGAGGGCGGCCAGAGTCGACCCACTTCTGATACCTCTTCCTAGAGGAATTAGCCATTCTCCTCAGCGAGTCTTCCTCATTACCTGGGAATGAGCGCGCGCCCGTCATGATGACTTACGCTCCGTCTTTCATGTACCTCGTGATGTCCTCCTGGGAGAGCGTCATCTTGATCCAGTTGGTCAGCTTGTGGAGGTATGCTAGGTCGCTCCGGACGGCGGTACTTTTACCCGTAGCACCTACGGCCACGGTGTACTGCCAACAGATGTCACAAAGGGCACCACCACCTGTAACAATCCCAAGGCATAAGTCTCGACCGCAATTCCAGCATCGCGCGATATCATGCAGGATCGTTTCTGGGGCTCCCTCCGTCGTGAGGTGCTCACGAGATCCCCAGCGGGCATCCTGACCACGAGCAAGACTGCGGCCGATCTGATCCATGGCTTCGCGGTTGATCTCGGCATTCGGTCGGGAAGCGATTGATCTACTCAATCCCTCGATCTCGATCCTAGACAATCTTTCCCCTGGCAGTCCTATGTACTCTGTCGTGTCGTTGTCCGCATCCTCAGTATCACCATGGCATACGTTTTCAATACGGAGACGTCGAGCCTTTTCCTGCAAGGCGGACTCGGTGTCGCCCTCCTCGCGGTTGACTCCCGTCTGCTCGGCTATGATCCGTACCGTGGTTTCTTGATCAGGAGCTGCGGATGCAACGCTGCCTGGGTCCTGGGGAATATCCCGCTCCGCGGCTGGGTCACGTGGCGCGGCAGGTGTTTCCACCAGCTCCGTCCATACGGGGAAGTCTGGATTGCTGAATGTGTCGATGCAATGTGTAAATAGATCACGCAACGTTTGCAGTGCGGGATGTTTCTGATGGATAGCATCTTTTGTGAAGTCGCGGAGCTCCGCAATACTGTCCATCAATATGTTTTGATATACTTTGGAGATCCATTGAAAGACGCCTGTAGTCGACTCCTCGATGGTCTCTGGATCCAGGTAGTGTACCAACTTTTTTTATAATAAATAAAAAAACGGTCTGCACTGCAAATTGGTAAGTCACGTGCCCATTTGTGGGTATGATCATAATTCAAGTAGTATTTCTCTGCATTCCATGCTTTGGATCCGAATTGAATATCAAAGCGTAAGTGCGATTGTGTTTTATCAGCCACAATTCTGTCCGCGCCAGTGTGCACCTCAATGATTTGTTTCATCTCTATCATAGGTGAATCCACCAACAACTCCGACGTCCAGCGGTATATGCGGCGGTCATATGACTGTTTAATACACTTTGAATCCTCCTCTGGGTCGTAGTCGGGGTGGTTGAGGAAGTCTTCTGGCGGGTCAATAACGTTGTCGAGTATGCTCGCAGCAACGTGCTCATCTGCTTGGATCTCTGCTGATAGATCTGATCTCATATTGTCATTTGCCGCTTTTTCCTCGGCGGTGAGCGGTATGTTTGATATATCCACGATAACGGTAACCAAAGGTTCATCAGATGGGCCTGCAGTTTGTTGAGGTCCATCGTCCGCAGGAGCGGTATCTTCGGCAGGTGTGGCCACCAGCTCTTCGGGATCGGGTGTCCGAGGAGCGGGCCGTCTGGTCGGTGTACGTGGAATGCGTGGCCTATAAATGCTCGGCATACCACGATACGGCAGACTGCCATCTGTTTTGTGCTGAAAGATTTTATCACGGCATGAGGGTGGTCCATCCAACACAGTATTCATATATGTCGGGTCAATGGCATATTCGTCGATACGAATTGGTAATGCAAAGACAACGCCTTTGAGAGGCATGTTTTTGTCATTGTAC